ATAATATGAATCAAATATGTACTTTATTCATTTACATTAAATGTCATAATGTACATCATTCTGATTGGAGCTAAGGGCATACACTGTCTAACACATCAAGGAAGGCCAATTGAAAAGTGAATCGGAAGGGTACAATGAATGGGTACAAGAAAAAGCCCAAATTATGACTTCTCTTTGGAACAATATGGAGAAATTAGTGTGAACCATATGTTTCTAGATACAACCAAGGAGATTTGGGACCATGCCAAGCAGTTATACTTTGGACAAGACAATGTCATAAGAATTTACCAATTATACCAAGACTATTTTTCTCTTCAATAAGGGATAAAAGTGTTAAAGAATACTATGCATCTCTAAAAAGATTAAGGAATGAGCTTAATGTTTATAAACCCCTATCCACTGATTTTTTTTTATAAATGAAAGAAAAATGACATCTCGATGTGGAAGGTTTTTATCTGGGTTGAGGTCTGAATTTGAATTGGTGTGGGCCCAAATCTTAGGTAGTAGTAATCTTCCATCCTTATTTAAGGTTTTCTCCCACATAAGGAGAGCCTCAAATCTACATAGTAATCATCCCCGACCATCAGAGAGATCAGCCATGGTGGTTTCCAGGGGAGGTTTTACTGGTAGAAATATGTAGGGTAGAGGTGGAGGTTGTGTGAGGGGTTTTGACTATGGGCCCAGGGGTGGACGTTGAGGTGGTAGAGAGGTTTGTGGTGCAAGAGGTGGTGGTTGTAATGGAGGAGGTTGTAGTTCAGCTTGTGAGTGCTCACATTGTGGACGAGAAGGTCACACAATCTACTTTTGTTATGATCTTTATAGTGGAAGGTGATTTTGGGAGTCTTAGTGTGATTGAAAATGCTCCTACTTCTAATATTGGTAAGGATAAAGGCACAATGTCTATCTCACGTGAGGAGTATGAAAAGTTTCGTCAGTCTTCTTCCAGTTCTACCACTACTACACTTGTGAGATCAGGTACATCTTGCCTTGTTTTTAGTTCTACACCTTCACCTTGGGTAATTGGTTCTGGAGCCTCAGACCACATGACTGGCTCCTTAGATATGTTTGTATCTTTGTCACCACCTTCTACATTCTAGACTGTTGCTTTAGCTAATGGCTTTTCTTCTACTATTACTGGTATCGGTAATGTGTCTCTTGGTTCTGACCTTAGTTTATATACTGTTTTTTATGTTCCCAAATTTCCCTTTAGTCTCTTGTCTATAAGGAAGCTTACTCAAACCCTTCATCATTCAGTAACTTTTTGTCCTTCATATTGTGTCTTTCAGGATCTTAAGACAGGGAAGACGATTGGTTTGTACTACTCGGATGACCATGGTCCTTAGAAGGCTCTTCATTCCTCTCTTACACCACATCAGTGCCATTGGCATCTCGGTCATCCTTCTTTGCGTGTTTTAAAAAAGTTAGTCCCAACTTTGTCGTCTGTAGCTCAGTTGGATTGTGAGTCATTTCAGCTAAGTAAACATCATAGACTGTCTTTTGTTCCTAGAGATGATAAGAGAGTCCTAAGTCCTTTGCTTTAGTCCACTCAAATGTTTGGGGTCCTAGTTGGTGTCATCTCTAATGAAGGGTTGTTCAGAATTGTTTTCTTTTTTTTCTATCTTTTCATGCTGAGATAAGGAATTAGTTTGGTGTATGCATTAAAGTGTTTCGTTCTAATAATGCCCAAGAATATTTTCATAATAGTTTTCAATCTTATTTTGACTCTCATGGTATTATACATTAGTTCTCCTATTCACACACTCCTCAACAGAATGGTGTGGCTGGGAGAAAGATTTGTCATGTGATTGAAACTACTCGGGCCTTGTTGATTCAAATGTCAGTCCCTAAAATCTATTGGGGTGATGCAATTCTCACCTCTTGTTTTCTCATAAAATGTATGCCCCTTTCAATCCTAGATGGTGAGTCACCTTTCTCTATCTCGTTTCCTTCTACTTCCTCTTTCTCTCTTCCTCCTCATGTGTTTAGTTGTGTGTGTTTTGTTCACAAATTGGGTCCATGCCATGATAAACTTGACTCAAGAGCTACCAAATGTGTTTTCCTTGGTTACTCTCGTATTCAAAAAGGTTACAAGTGCTATCAGATGTGCTTTCCTTGGTTTGCACTATTTCTCTGGACGCGAACCTTCTCCTTTTATTCCTCTTTCCTTTGATTCCGATGATATCTTTATTCCCTTGCCTATTATGAAGGAGCCTATTCGACCATCTATTCAAAGAGTGTACTCTAAACGTGATCGGTTTCAAAATTGTCACTTGCAGTTGATCCAACTCCAGCTTCTGACCTACCACCAGAGTCTTTGCCGTTAACAGATCTACCTCCCTCAGATCTTAATCTTCCTATTGCTCTTCATAAGGGTAAACGTGCTTGCACAAATCACCCACCTTCTCGATATGTCTCCTTTGCTCACTTATCTCCTTCACATCAATGGTTCATTTCCCTTCTATCTCTTGTTTCCCTACCGTGTTCTATACAAGAAGCCCTCTCATCTTCTAACTGGAAGAAGGTGATGGATGAAGAATTTCATGCTCTTCAGTCCAATAATACTTGGGATCTTACTTCCTTAACACCTAAGAAACAAGTCATTGGTTGTCGATGGGTCTATACAATTAAACATCGTCAAGATGGCAGTATTGAACGGTTTAAGTGAGCAGCCAGCACTTAAAATAACTTAAAAGAAACACAAAACATGTTAACAGGCCCATAATGAAAAAGGCCCATCAACACTTACACAGTAAACATGATGCTACTTAAAACATAAACAAGTACTAGGGCCCATTTGGCCCAGTCTCTCTACAGTAACAACGCATATCTCCATGCTAGATCAAGACAATCCCACATCAGACAACACTTTTTAGTACTGGAGTTGTGTAAATTCTGTAATACTGTTTTTGCCTTTTAAGTTAGCATATTGTATTTCTTTTCTTCCATATATATCCATTCATCAATTCGTGTATCATGCAGCTTCCAAGGAACTGGATGCATTTGCATTTCTTACGTGCAATTGGGACTGCAATGTCCATGCGAGCAGGTATTGCAGCAGATGCAGCAGCAGCTTTACTCTTCCGCATACTTTCACAGCATGCATTGCTCTTTCCTCCACATCCACTAAGGCAAACTGAAGGAGTTGAAGTTCAACATGAGCCTCTGGGCAGTTATATTTCATGCTACGGAAAGCAGGTAAATGTTTTGCTTTTATTACTGTAAGATTACTACTTTAAGATTCAATGTCTTCTACCTAGTTGGTCTGCTCAAATTTGCCAAGTTTTGTTAGTAAGTTAGCTGGAACTGTCATTTTACCCTTGTAAAAATGTCTCCTAAGCAGATAGAAGTGCCTGCAGCAGAAGCCACTATTGAGGCCACAGCCCAAGGAATTGCATCTATGTTTTGCGCTCATGGCCCTGAGGTTGAATGGAGAATTTGTACCATCTGGGAAGCTGCTTATGGATTGATTCCATTAAGTTCCTCAGCTGTTGACTTGCCTGAGATCATTGTTGCAACACCAGTGCAACCTCCTGTATTATCATGGAACCTGTATTTACCACTGCTTAAAGTGCTAGAATATCTCCCTCGTGGTAGTCCATCTGAAGCATGCCTCATGAGGATATTTGTTGCTACAGTGGAAGCAATTCTGCGGAGAACATTTCCTCCTGAATCCTCCAGAGAACAAATAAGAAAATCAAGATTTTTGTTTGATTATGGGTCTGCCTCTAAGAACCTTGCTGTGGCTGAACTCCGAACAATGGTCCATTCATTATTTTTAGAATCATGTGCCTCAATTGATCTTGCTTCACGCCTTCTATTTGTTGTGTTAACTGTGTGTGTCAATCATGAAGCTCAGCCCAGTGGGAGCAAGAGACCAAGAAGTGATGATATTTATCCTTCAAATGAAGTTACTGAGGATTTTCAGGTAACAAATGAGAAAAATGGGGAGGTGAGAACTAGAAAAGTTAAAAGACAAGGGCCTGTTGCAGCATTTGATTCTTATGTTCTTGCTGCTGTTTGTGCTTTGGCCTGTGAGCTTCAGCTGTACCCTTTGCTTTCAAAAACTGGAAAATGTTCAGACTGTAAAGATGCACCAATCATAGTAAAGCCTGAAAAAGTGAATGGATCTTCTAATGATTTATGGAATGGCATGGGAGCTGCAATTAATCATACTCGTAGGATATTACGAATTCTAGAGGCACTTTTTTCCTTGAAGCCATCTTCTGTTGGCACCTCTTGGAGTTACAGTTCAAATGAGATTGTTGCTGCAGCCATGGTTGCTGCTCATGTGTCTGAACTCTTCAGGCGTTCAAAGCCCTGCACGCATGCTCTCTCCCTGCTGATGCGATGCAAGTGGGATAATGAGATTTGCAACCGTGCATCCTCACTTTATAACCTCATTGACATTCATGGAAAAGCTGTTGCATCAATTGTTATCAAGGCAGAGCCACTAGAAGCAAACTTAGTACAGGCACCAGTGTGGAAAGATGCCTCAGTATGTACAAATGGTAGAAAAAAAGTTAATTGCCGAAACACTAACTACCATGACTCTGGATCTTCATCAACCAAACAGTGTGAAAGTGAGAAAGATCCAATCCATTCAAATAACTTCCTAAAATGTGAGAAAGAATCACTTTCAAATGATGGTATGATTGATACCATGGGGAAAAGTATAGCAAGTTTTTCAAAAGATGCTTTGGATTTGGCCAATTTCCTTACAATGGACAGGCACATAGGATTTAATTGCAGTGCACAAGTTCTTCTCAGATCTGTACTTGCAGAGAAACAAGAGTTGTGCTTCTCTGTTGTTTCACTGTTATGGCACAAATTAATCGCAACCCCAGAAACACAACCAAGTGCTGAAAGCACTTCTGCCCATCAAGGGTGGAGGCAGGTACTGATCTAAATCTTCAAGCATCACTTGTGGAGTTAGTAAGGTTATTCGAGTTATTCCACATTAGCATGCTAGATAGAGAAGTTAGAACATTTCAAGTTAAACAAGATAAACATCGAATTACTTTTTCCCTGACAATTGTATATCTGGATAAATCTAAATGAACCATGTAGAATCTTCTTGTTTTTGATGTGCTCATTTTGTCCATGATAGTCATTGGATTTGGTTTCTTATTTTTTTTAACTTTTATAAGTCATGCTTATTAAGGGCGACACCTAGGTGGACACCTAGATGATGCGTTGGTGACAAGGCATTTTATACCAGACATTATTTTCATACGTGTTAGGTCCTGTTAGGGAAGGAATATTATCAAGCCACATAGCTAATCATATACTGTACCATGTTGAATTTTATTTCTCTAGGACACCTAAGATCATATAATTAGCATGCTCATATTTCCTTTCTTGTATTCAATTTGCTGATATTTTTATTTGCTTCATCGCAATGTGTTGTAATACCCATTTGCTTGGATTAACTATTATTTTGATTTTTCACTTTTTTTTTATTTGTTGGGAGCATGGTTCATAATACCGGTGATATTTGGAAAAATTTCTCCAAAATCTCCCCATTTTGCTAGATGGAGATACAAAATTTTCTGAGAATCTTTATTTCCTAATTTCTCAGATATTTTTCTGATATATCGGCACTATTTCATATTTCATTGATAGACTATATATTTAAGGTTTGAAATTTTATAATGTTATTAAAAGTTTTCTGATATTTCATTAAAATCATCATAATTTTTTAAAAATATTTTCTTAAAAGAACCAATGGGGAATTGGTGATTGCATAATTTGGCATATTATTTTGATATGGTTCACTTACTAAAACACTATATTTCAAAAGAAAGAGAAAAATGCATACAGCTACAAAAGAGGATTGTCAATATAATCAAAATATATAGTAACAAAATAGACAAAAATCAAAATGGCAAGTAAATGACATATTTAATGAAGAGAAGATGGATAAAAGGCTAAAAGGGAGACAAAGAGAAAGGTATCTATTAAAGTCTCTTAATTTTGTCCTTTTTGATTTATATAACTATTTACTATGGTTTTTTGAGCCTTAAATGTGCAATTATACTTTTTTTGATGATTCCTTGTAGGTTTATTGACTAATTCCATGTTTCTAGAAAACTTCTCTAATTTTTTAGACTTTTCAAATATCTTAGTGAAATTGGCAACATATCTCCCAAAATTCCCCATTCTACATGGAAAATATTGAAATTGCAAACCATGGTTGGGACTTGGGAGTATGTCTTTGGAACAACCTCCCAAACTGATTTGGCAATCCAAAGAAACTATAGAGAGGCTGGGTCAAATGGGCCCTAAGCCCATTACCATCTTATTGTTAGTTCTTCCTTGTTGTTTTGTTTATAATGGGCCTTTAATTCTTTTTATTAAGTATGTTGATGAGTTGGAATCCACTTAAGGGTAGACTTGTAATTTTTCTAATCTTCTTCTTTCTCTTCTACTATAGTCTGAAATATTTTACTATTTTTTATTGGACTAAATCACATCTTGGTATCAAAGTAGGTCTTCCTCCTCTTTTGTATTTTTCTTTTCTTTTCTCATACACCCTTCGATTAGAAGAGTGTATGGAGAGATAGGCTGCTAGTTATTCAGAGAACTTTTATGCCTAGTTGGTAGAGGGTTTGGAGAGTCAATATCTGGTTGTAAATTGCCAAGAAAGTGGGGCTGCTGATTTTTTGCCCAAAACCCTAGCCGACTAGAGAGTTTCCAATTGTAGGTTAAAGAGACTATTTGGGTGTGGCGCTCAAGGTTTGGAGGGTTCCTTTTGATCTCTAGAAGTGGGCGGTTGCAGTTGGAAGAGGTTTGGGAAGCTCTGGTTGGAGTGGCTACTTCTTCTCTCTTTCTCCCCGGAGGTCAAGTGTAGTAAAAGCCTAGTTTTGGGACTTTTAGGTGTTGAACTGACCTCAGTTTGGTGTATAAAGATTGAAAACCTTGTTTTTTGATTTTCGTTTGGTCAATGTTGCAATCTGGAAGTGAGATGAAGCAGATCCCGGTGTCTAAGGTTGGTCTAGTAGATTCCATTTTGACAAGAGTGACTACAATCAAATTGGATGGAACAAACTATTTGGCTTGGGCACAATCTATAGAGATTTATGTTTGTAGTAGAGGTAAACTGGTGTTTCTCATGGGCGGTAAGGAGAAACCGGCAGAGACTGATCCTACATATGAGAAATGGATGTAGGATAATTGGACAATGATTGGATGGCTAGTCAATTCTATGCAACCTCATGATGACTTCAGCCAAGGAGATTTAGGATGGTGTAATAGAAACGTATTCTCAGAAATTGAATGTTGTAAGGTCCTATAAGTTGAAAAATGATGTGAAAAATTTGAAACAGAGGGAGAAGAGTGTAGTTGTCTACTACTCAGTGTTGAAGTTATTATGGCAAGAGATGTTATGGAAATAGTCGTATGGGAGAGCACCAAGGATGTAGAGACATTCAGAAAATTGGTGGAAAGAAACAGGGTGTCTGAGTTTCTTACAAGACTTAACCCTGAGTTTGATATTACGAGACAGAATATTCTGGCCAAGGATGAAGTAACACTTGCTCAAGCATATTCTATGGTGAGCAGTGAAGAGAGCAGGCGACAAGTACAAGGACCACCTTCAGAACATTTCTCACATGCTGGAATAAAACCAAAGGGGCCAACTGAGAAGAGAGAGGTGATATGTGAGTACTACAAGAAACCGAAGCATACTAAGGATACTTATTGAAAAATTCCTCCAGATCTTTTCCCAAAAAGGTTTCGGAACAACAACAACTTTAAGAAAAGTGGTTAGCCTGAAAAGCCCAAGAATGCAAATGTTGTTACAACATCTGAAGGAGGAAATAGAGAAAGCAAAGAAAAATCTGTTGTGGAGCAGTGAAGGCAGAATTTGAGAGATATAGGAGGTTAATTAATCATTTGGAGACTACTGTTGTAGCTTCCTCAAGCAACACCTCTTCATCCGCATTTGACCACTCAGGTACTCATGCTTCTACAAACCATGCTACGGCTTCATGTAATTGTAGAATTCCTTGGATTATTGATTCAGGTGCATCAGACCATATGACCAACATATCTAACCTTTTATGTTCATATCAGCTCCTCTCTGGTAGAGAGAAGATTTCCCTTGGTGATGGGTCTCTTGCTTCCATCTCTAGCAAAGGGAATATTAGAGCCTCTAACTCCCTTGGTTTGTCCTCTATCCTTCATGTTCCCAAACTTAATACTAACCTTTTATCTGTTAGTAGCTTAACTAAATCAATGAATTGCAGCGTAACCTTCTTTCCTACTCATTGTGTTTTTTAGGTCCTAAAAACTCAGACGACAATTTGGAGTGGCCATGAGGCGAATGGAATATTGTTGAGTTTTGGGCTAATATAACATGTTTTCATTTACATAGCATAGTTAGGGAGTTATTGGGCCTTAGGCCCATTAGTTTATGTTTTAAGTTAAGAGTGTTTTTTAAGTTCTCACAAGTAGCCGACTTACTAAGGGCATACTTGTCTTTGTACTCTCTTTTATTTATGAGTGTATAATCTAATGAAAGGGGTGACCAAACCTAATTCTAAGCTTCTCCCATTCTCTTCTATCTCTTATCTCTCTCTTTCTTAGCTGAAATCTTTTCTTCTTTCTTTCACAGTTATTATATTAAAAACAGGTTGTCCAAACCTTTCTACTAATATATTTGTTGGATACCTATGATCGAGGTCCTGAACCACCTAGTGGAGTAGCTTTGGAGTCTTTCATCAAAGTCAGTTGATAGAGTCATGTTATGTCATTTAAGATTTGGTCATTTGTCTTTTTCTGCTTTGAGTCATTTGTTTTCTAGAAATGTTTAAGGGAATATCCCTATTGAGTCTTCATTGTGAGTCATGTGAACTTGCAAAACATTGTAGGCAATCTTTTCCAGTGAGTAATAAAAGATCAGTTTCTCCTTTCCATATTGTGCATTTTGATGTGTGGGGGTCATATCATTTATCTGCTATGGGGGATTACAAGTATTTCATCATTTTCATTGATGATTTCTCTCATTACACTTGGATTTACCATATGAGATCCTGGGATGAAGTTTCAAATATTGTACAAAAATTTCATGAACTTATTCTTACCCAGTTTAATACTTGAATCAAAATATTCCGATCTGATAATGCTAAGGAAAATTTTGAGAAGAGCCTTTCCTCCTACTTTGATACTGTTGAATAACTTAGTTTTATTTCAGTTTAGAGATGCTACCTGGTTCAGCCAAGAGTTGGGAAGATGAAGGAGCAACTAGTCGAGGCATGAATTAGACTCTGATACCAAACTAATGCAACACATGTTAGAGGAAAAAAGAAAGAAGCAGGGGCAAAAAGAAGAGAGGGAGAGACAAATCAAAGAAGAGAGTTCAAAAAATTTTATTCTTCAAAACATAACATAATGAACCCTAAGATATGTAAATTTATAAGAAACCTAGAAATTAAAAATTACAATTAAATCCCTACTGAATATGAAAATTACAAATAACCCCCTACAAAGAATAAATTTTACAATTAAACCTAATCTTTGCATTAATCAAAGTAATATGCCTAAAATAAGTACGAATTTTATGTGGCTCTTTAGTCTCAAAGTGATCTCCATCAAGTGAGTTTACTTACTGACAAAAGACTAAAGGGAAACTTAGGAATGTAAAAAATAGAGTTGATACTAATATCATAACTAAGGGAAACATTACCAGTACAATTAATAGGAGAAGTGTCATCAACTAAGGTTATTGTCTATGCAATGAAAGGTGGAGAGGACTCAAATAAATCTAAATATCCAATCATATGATTTGAAGCTCCAAAATCAATTACCCATGGTGAATGATTAGAATTGGAAACTAAACAAGTTGTACCTGACTTAGCAAGGGTAGTTGTGGGCTTGGAAGTCAAGGAAGAAGCC